CAACGGCCTCCTTTTTTTTTTTTTTTTTAATCTTTGACAGAAATTCATTATTTTGTGAAATGACTGAATTCTCCCTTCTCGAATAAGTCAACCTCAAATGATGTCTCTCTCTATGTTTTTTTTTTACTTTATTTACTTTTCTTAATTATAGCAATCGAATGGATTTGTGCTTTTTTTTTATTACAATATCCTCTCATGGGATTTTTTTTATTTTTTATAAATAAAAATAAATATAATAATTTAAAATATAATATGATGATATAATATTAAAATATTATGAATAAAAAATTTAAAATAATATAATTTAAAATTTTAATAAAAATTATAAATGAATTTAATAAAATAAATAAAATATTTTATATTTTTATATATAAGACATATAATTTTTTATAAAATATTATATAAATATAAATTTTATAATATTTTATATTAATTATTTAATATAGATCAAGATAATATCGTTTTGGTGTGGACATATCAAATGAATGCATGTGGGTGGAACTTTTAATGGTCCAACACACATTTTGGTAAGTGTCGGTTAAATTTCAATTTCTTGATTAAATTTGTTGGAAACTTATATGAAAAAAAAAAAAAAAAAAAAAAAAAAACAAAAGAGAGTAAACGAAGGAGACTTTCCCATATAAAGGTGAATGTCCAACTTTCAATAATGTCCTTACATGATTTTATCTATAACTTATTAATCAAATCTAGCTACATTTTGGCTTCTATTTTAATCATTTTAGCTTTATTAAGTTCTCCTTTTCTAATATCCGACAACTTGCAAAGAAAATTTAGATAAGGTTAAAAGATATTTTAAATTTTAATTTAATTAATTTAGCAATATCTCTTAAAATTACATTTAATAAATTTTATTTTTAATTTTTAATTTTTTATCCGGAAATTACAAATTTTTTTTAAATAAAGTTAAAACTATACAAAATTATATATATATATATATAGAGAGAGAGAGAGAGAGAGAGATGAAACAAAACGTCAGGATTAGGTAAGCAAGTAACGTCAATTGACCAAAGAGGGCCAGGCCCGTCTTGTCTTTCACCACTGGAAACGAAACAAGGTTGGGAAAGGGCATCTAAATTCTGAAGGGTCATACCGTGCATGTGGCCAATGTCCATATATAATTAATTTCATTACTATATTCATCAACTCAACTCATTTAGAATATTTCAATGCCATTTGACCAAAAATTCTTTTCCATGTGCAATCTCTATTCACATTTTGGACCTACCATTTCCATTTGGAATGGTTTCTAAGCTTCTAGCTATGTATGAACTATGAACACGGGTTTATTAAACACTATATATATATATATAAATTGAGAATTGGCAATGGACCCTTCCTAAAGCTAAAATTAATTTGCCGATAAAAGACATATAAGATGACCAAAATCATGGTGGCATGGACCTTGATTGTACTATGACTAATAAAAGCTTTGGTATATACAACACTCTGAGTTAAATTTATTCATAACTTGACTGATTCATGAGATTAATTCGGATTTAAATTAAAATCAGATAAAAATTTTTAAATCGATAAATATTGATCATTGAGTAGAGAATATATTTAATTATGTTTTTATGATACTTGCCATTAATACCTTTGAGTAAAAGTATTAAATATTTACTGTAGAATTTTATCTTTTCTTCTGTAAAATGTGGGGAAGGAAGGAAATCATGAGTGGTACGGTTCTGAGAATGTAGTGAGGATTGTTACTGCGTGTTGATTTTCAGTTACTTAATAGGAGTCGTGTGACATTTATAATCGCATATTAAAAAAATATATTAATATGATATAATATAAGTATAAAAATTTAAATTTATAAAATATTTTTATGAGATAAAATGATAAAATATTTGAATTAAAATAAATAATATTTTATAAATTAAATATAAAATTTCATAAAAATCATCATAAATTTTTTAAATTAAAACTAATAATATTTTACAAATTAAATTCAAAGAGTTAGTCAAATCTATTAATTTTTGTCATTCTTTTCATTATTTGTATCAATTTGAAAAAAAAAAATTTATGTAATATAAAATATTTTACACTAAATCAACATTTTTAAATTAAAAAAAAATAAAGTATTGCTTGGAGGCAAAGCAGCAGCAGCTGATTGGAGTTTGGACATAAACTTATCACAATTTTTAATTTCATGACTCATCTGATTTTTCCTTTTCCCCTTCTTTGGGCTTGATTTTCTACAAGTCTATATGTTTATCCTTATTACAAAGTCCTCCATTGTTGACAATTCTCTTTCTGTCGCGTATCTTCATTTTAATGAGATGAAAAGATTAACAAAACAAAAATAAAAAAATAAAAAATAATTTTTTTCATTACCATCGTCGCTAATCCATTGATCGACTGCAAGCAAAAGTCGAAAATAGTATTTTGTAAATTAGTAGTATCTGGTTCGTTCTCCCTTCCCCAATTTGGTTTCTTCCAATAGTAGGATGAAAAAATTTTTTAAAAATTAAAAATTAATTTAAAATTATAATATTTAATTCGATTTAAATTAATTTTTTTATTCAATTCAAATTAAATTTAAATATTAAATATATATTATATTTAAATCAAATTTTAAATTAAAAAATTAAATTAAACTGATAAAATTCAATATCATAAAAAAGTTAATCTGAATTAGAATTAAAATTTAAAATTTTAAAATATTATATAATATTAAAAAAAAGGGAACCAATCTAATTCATTCCAATGTAATGCTAATGACTGTTTCACGTTTTGATATGATAACAAAGTCCCTTTCTTAAATCTTTTTGGAAAGATTCTATTAAGAAGTTTCACAATCATTTACCGAATCGAAAAAACATGAGTTGACATTGTAACACTCCATCCCCTGGCCCCCCCTATATTCAGATAAATCATACTAGTATACCATCTCTTTGAATTTTCCCAAAAGAAATTCTCAAGGAAATGAAAATGAAATAACCAGAGAAAAAGCCTCATTCATTAAGAGAAAAAAATGGAAAAATGAAAAAGGAAAAAGAAGATATCATCAATATATCAAGTTCTTCCAAGAATGATGATATGAGTTTGCTTTATTTATCTTAATTTTTATAAAAAATTGAAAATAAAATATTAATTGCATAAATCAATGTGATCACTACCGATATTGACCTTATTATGGGTTTTAATAACAGCAATTCCTAGTCTCAAAAAGTTTAACACAAAGCCGTGTTGATGCTGCCAAGAAGGGCCCAAGCGCCCCTCCCCTTTATCACGGCACAACCCCCATTAGTCCTAACACTTGTGACTTAACAGTTGTTTCAACGTGCAAGGGACGTCTGAAAAAACCTTGTCTACACTATATCCCCATGTCGTTTGAAAAAAACCTTGTCCACACTATATCCCCATGTTTCTATCTCTCATAAAAGTCCTTCTGTTTGTCCATAATTCTCATCCAGGTTTTTCCTTTCTGCTCAATCCTCGGCTTTGTTTCATTCAAAAGTCAATAGCACGTTGAGAAGTTTCTGATTAGTTGAGACAGGGAAGCTGAAATAGTAAAGGACCGTAGGTTGAGCTGCAATTATTCAGAAAATTGACAGAAGCCCAGTTGAAACTGCCTAGTGGGTACCCAGACAAGCTTGGCAGGACTATCAGTTTCTTCAGAAGAAATGCCACCGTCCATTATAAACAATGTGGCTTGTTTTTTCAACTCTAATTAGTATTTTGTTGTTCAAAAGATGAATTCAACATGTTTGTGATATCATTTTCTTTTTATTCAATGTAAACAGGGACGTTTTTCACTTTTCAGCATAAATTTTTTCTTCCATGTCTGAAGTCATGAACAAGAAACATGTATAAATGAGGACTGTCGAACTGGGAAAGTTACGGAATCCATGGGGTCCAGAAAGGGGCATCCGTCTAGCCCAGTTTGGACTTGGGGTTTGAATTGCAGCCACTAGTCTTGGAATGCTATTACTCTTTCAATCTATACTAGGCAATCCGAGAAAGACATGATAAAATTCTTAAATAAACCAAAAAGGAAAAACAACAGCAAAACCATATATCTAGATGCCTATTATGATGTCAAATATAAAAATCGCTTTATTTCAAAGATGCCCAAATTTTTTATAGAACTGAAAATACTGTGGAAATCTCATCTCATGAATGATCGGGTGAAATCATAGCAAATGGCAGAAGATGCTCATACAGGTGGGCATGGGTTCAGGTGATTGGGGTATATAAAAGTTTTCTAAAGAAATTCAAAAAGAAACGGAGGCCAAAGTAGCTGGCAAATGAGAAATATAGTGAGATTTCACAGCTGAAGAAGAACACTTTCTTCGTGCTCGATCTACATCATTTTCAGAAAAAGGTGGTGCCGTATCCAGATTCCAGCCTATGACCCAACAACAGCCATGTTGCGTAGCGTGATGGTCGTGCCTGGCAAGATCATGGGCCACATTTGTTCCCTTCACTGGCCAGGTCATGGATACAGCATTGTTGACGTAGTATTATTTCGTTGCATTTTCATTTAGGGGTTTAATGTGTTGGGATTTATATTTAAAACGAGTTGAATATCAAATTTTAAACATTGTTAAAAGAACCAAATAGATTAAGTCTTGAATTCAATTATAATAATATTTTTTTGTACTTTATATTTTGAATTGAAATTTTGAGAAAAACCGAATTGGGCTTGTGGATAATATATTAGCCCAAGCCTGATCCATAAGCATTCTCACTTGCTAGGTCCGTTCATCTGTTTTATTTATTCGATTCCTTCATTCCTTCAAGTCAATGGGCTTTCGAGGGTAGTGTTGGTTTTGGTTGGGTTTAAGGGTGTCGGAGGGTTTGAGCTCGAAAGGACGGTCGGTCCCCCGATTGGAGAACCAGAAAAAGTCCGCGTTTCAGTAACCAATCAAAGAACAGTCATTAAGTCACCCATCCAACCAGTAAAATACACGTGGACAGCCAACCTCGGCTGGCTCTTCTTTACTCTTACATAACTTGTAATTCACTTTTTTTTTTTTTTAATAACAAAAGAGAAGACGGTCCTGCTCTTCGACCTCCTTTCTATTTTGGTTTAATCATCAAACGGCGTCGTAATGGAAGAACATGGTTCTGGACTCCGGCGAGTGTTGGTGTTAGCATTTTGCGTGGCCGGGATTTGGTCTGCCTATATTTACCAGGGCTTTCTTCAGGAAACTCTGTAAGCAATCTTATTTTATATTCTTTTTTTTGTTAAGTTTGATTTCTTTTGGACTTCTTCGATTAATTGTTGCTTCGTTTGATCTATAGTTGAAAGTTTCTGAATTATGCATCTGATTTTTAAAATTGCAACAAATTATTAGTAATTTCTTAGTTAATTTGAAAGTGGATTTAGATGCAAAGAAAAAAAGATTGTGTCTTAGTGAATATTTACCGTTGGTTTAGAAATTAGTTTTAAAAATGGCAGTTATTTGGCTTGAATTAGAATAATTTGCAGTTATAATAAGGTCAGGGATATCCCAAGCTTTGTTTGGTTCTAATCCTTTCCTCCGTTAATCTGCACTCCCCCGTATTGGAGTGCTCCCGACAAGAATTGAACCTGACAAATGAACTCCTTCCCTTACCAACTGGACTAGCCTCATGTGGATATATAGTTGGTTTTTGTTTCCTAATCATATATATATATATATTATTTATTTAGGTCCACCAAGCGATTTGGTCCAGATGGGAAAAGATTTGAGCATTTTGCGTTCCTTAACTTGGCGCAAAATGTGGTGTGCTTAGTTTGGTCATACATAAGTAAGCTTCTCCATTCCCTCTACCATACTATTTATTTGATACAATTGACTATTTGTGTAACATTGACTGGCAAGGAGTAGGGGTAATAACTTGTTTGTTCTTGTGCCTCATATAAGTGATAAAGCTTTGGTCCAGTAGCAGCAATCGTGGTGCTCCCTGGTGGACTTATTGGAGTGCCGGAATCACAAATACAATTGGTCCAGCCATGGGTATAGAGGCTTTAAAATACATCAGTTACCCTGCTCAAGTATGTCCACAATCCTCCATTCTTTTATATATTTTCTCATTTTATCCCACCAATTTTAGTACCTTGAGGCTCTGGTTATTGACCATTTAGATGTAACCTGAATTGACAAATTGTTTAGATTTTAAGTTTATATGCTAGTGAAGTTGGACATGTAGCTGGAGTCTTTGATCCTAAATTCTTAATTAATGATGCCTTTTCTACTCTAGTTTTGTTAATTGGAAAAATGTTTTTATTATGCATAAAATTAAACTATTAACACTTGTTAATTTAATGCCATGAATATAGTTGGACCCAAATGTTTTCTGGTTCCTGATGGGGCTTTATTCATTACTGTTATGGTTACTGTTGATTTTCCAGTGACAGCTAAGTTGATTGGTCTGAACATTTGCTGTTGTTCATCTTACTTGCAGGTGCTGGCAAAATCCTCAAAAATGATTCCAGGTAAGATAATACTTTATTTTCTGTAAACTCTTTTCCTCGTGGATCTTCCTTGATTGGTATAGCGTTGTTATCATGAAAGCATTAGTAATTTTTGAATTGCTAGTTGTATCATGATGTTTCAGGAATAACTAATAGTGTATTTTACCTTTATGCAGTCATGCTGATGGGTACTCTAGTTTATGGTATTCGATACACTTTTCCCGAGTATATCTGTACTTCCCTTGTGGCTGGAGGGGTATCTACATTTGCACTTATGAAGGTGAGAAATGTGTTATTTGTTAGGCTTTATAACAATGCTACTTCTGTTCTTGTGGATCTTAATTGCCATCTTCCTTCTTCAAAAGGCATATTGGAGGACTAAATGTCGTTAACCACACCCCCTATGAATTTCAATGCTGAGTCATATGTTGCTCTTGTGTCTGCTTTGATCTTATCCCAGACTAGCTCAAAAACAATTAGCAAGTTGGCTCATCCTAATGCACCGCTTGGATATGGGCTCTGTTTTTTGAACCTTGCATTTGATGGTTTTACAAACGCCACTCAGGATTCAATAACTGCAAGGTATGTGGAAAACATTTTCCTACTTTAGTTTTGGTGCTTGGCTATTTTGATGGACTTATAATGCATGCATTGTGATAGGGTCACTGTTTTATCCCCTTATTCCTTTGTTAGTGTCAATGTATAGTCAAACAATCCAAGAAATATGCTTGTTAGTACAGTTTTTTGTTTGGTTGTTCAACTGAATAAGCTTTTCATAGTAAATTTAGGAACAAAAGCTTTGTAGTCTTTTTCCAATGGAGAAGTTTGGTTCATCTATTGCAAAATGTCATCATCTTTATGCAGAAATGGTAGCAACATTTGTGGATATTTTAGTTTGAAGGCTTTTTCTCTTTCTCTTTCTCTGCTCAGATGTCAGCTCGTATTTTTCTCTTAAAGCATTGTTGTTATTGTTTTCTTGAAATGTGCATCACTTTTTGGACAATAAACCTAGTATTTAGAAGATAATTTCAACAAAGAGGGAGAAAATTTGAGGCTTGCAGCAACTAGCTGACCTCAGGATATTATTTTCTCTGTAATCTTAAGGAATGACTTTTGTATGAGCAAGATTTATGAGAACAAAACAGACCAGCTTGCTGATACATCAAACTTCCGTTCCAAAATTTTCTTGCTATGACCTTTAAAATTCTTTATAAGTTGATCGAATGCCAGCATTGTAGATATTTTTGTTAGAACTGATTTTCTCTTGTTAATTCAAATTTGTATGACTCAAACCTTTTTGGTTTCCTTTGCATAGGTATCCAAAGACAAGTGCTTGGGGTATCATGCTGGGAATGAATCTATGGGGTACCATATACAACATAATTTACATGTTTGGCTGGCCACATGGTAGTGGCTTTGAGGCAGTCCAGTTTTGCAAGCAGCATCCAGAGGCTGCTTGGGATATTTTCCTCTATTGTCTCTGCGGTGCTGTTGGCCAGAATTTCATTTTCCTGACAATAAGTCAATTTGGCTCCTTGGCAAACACAACCATTACCACCACACGCAAGTTTGTCAGCATTGTGGTGTCTTCTCTGCTGAGTGGCAATCCACTGTCCACAAAGCAATGGGGTTGTGTACTCATGGTCTTCTCTGGGTTGTCATACCAAATCTACCTCAAGTGGAGGAAGTTGCAGAGGCTGCAGAAGAAGAGAAAGACCTGAAGGAGGCCTGTAACAGTTTTGAGCTTTATGCTTAACCATCCCCTTGGTATACTATCATTGCAGCCCTAAGGTTCAATGATCCCGAATTTAAGACAACGCTTAGAAATTGATGTAATTGAATAGATTTTCATTTGAGAAAAAGAATGATCTGTATCCGTAAGTGCTAAGTTTTAAGTGCCCTATTTCAAAAACCAAAATCTATGTAATTGCTTTTCCTGCTCACTTTTTTCCCCGTCCCAGTTGGATGTGAATGTGATCTTAACGAAAAGTAATACTTAGTTACAAAGGAAATTGGATAGAGAAGCGAGCCCCCTTCAAATGCCACGAGGTATCTCTTTTTCATTATTCCCATTAGCAAAAGCCTCTCTGCTTTATGGTAAAGTGCGGGCAAGAGAGGTAACTGTTGCATATGAATTGACCTATTCACTCTGCAATGATAACAGACTTTTCCACAGCGCGGTTCAGAGTGATATTTGGGCCAAAAGTTTGCATTATTTGCACGGATCTCCAGGTCAAAACATTTAAAACTTCACCTTCCATGGAGAAAGATTATGGCCAGTAAGTTCACTTTAATTTATATGAGGTTCCCTCCCCCTTCTTTTACCCTTTGCTTTTGCGTTTGTCATAATTACACTTGTCCACCACTATATGATCTGCTACCCCCACCTACGGATGATCTTCCTCAATAACAGAGTTCCTACACTCTTCTTCTCTGCAACACTGTCCTCACTAACACAACTGAGATGAGATTGTTTTAGAAAGAAATAGAGAAGGGAAAGAAAGGGGGTGATTCATTTCCATGCTTGGTCAGACAAAATGGATGTTCTGCATTCTATGTAAGTATGCTGCTTTATATTCGTATTTTCTTAGGTTCCCTTCATTTTTCTCCTCTTTGAAGGAAAGAGAAAAAAACAGGGACATGATCTAGTTTCTGTAGGTAAGAGAACTTATGAAACTATTGGACTGAAAAGGCTTGCTGTCTCATGTGTTTTCTGGTATTTTTTCTGTTCATTTCAGTGCTCGATTTTCCCAAAGATTCTAAATGAGAGTATAGTGTAGCTCAGAATAATTCAAATTCCTGATTCCATTTACCTGCTGCATCATAGTTTTAGATGTCATAATGCATAAATTCAAATTAAGTTATATAAGAAAAGAGTAAAGAGCTTAATTCATACCAAAGCCAAAACACATTTTCACTCAAATCATATCGAGTTTCATTACATTAGAAATCAGGATAGAAAACCACAAAAAATTTTATTCCATACCTTATGCACACCCAACAACATCAAATACGAATCCTGTAAAGTGGTTAATCCTCCTTTGCTGTTTCCCTTTTTTTTCCCTTCTTGTTCCTTCCTCTGTTTCTTTTATCATATGTAGGCAAGTTGACAATGTATAATTACACTAAGGATTTTATATAGTAGGTTCTGTACAAAATTACAAATCAAGGACAAAAACTGGATCAGAAGGATGGAAGAAGAGTACCGGAAACTGCTCTGATGAGATGACAAACAAAAGAATGATACACACTAACAAGCACACACTGGTTTTAGTACGAGTATTAAGGTAGTACTCTCTAGTAGTACAAAATAGAGAATTGGAGGAGAAAAATTAATGGAACTCAGGACATCTTATTGATGTGTCTGAGAAGCTAGAATGCAACAAAACATTCTAAGCCAGGGAGCTAGGGCAGCAGATCATTAAATGCCTTTTCATAAAATTCCAGGCCAAGATGGCTGCAATCCTAGTGTGAAAAAATGGATGAAAACTCAACAAGAGCTATGTTGCTCAGGGGAATCAATGATGAGATATATAGACTATAGACCAATGTTGATTTCAGTATAAGAAATGATCAGAGGTTTGTTATAGACTATGGAGGAGGACCCGTTTGCAAGTTGGTGGTTGAGAAAGATTGTTTCCTGGATTAGGAGAAGGGGACTCCATTCCAAGTGTCTTAAGTAGGAAGTTCCTTTCCTGAAAAAGAACAAAAACCTGGCAGTAAGTCTCATATTTAAGTTTGAGATAGGGCATATATGTGTGTATGCTCGCATTTCTATGTTAAATTAGAAAAAAGAAACAATGCAAGCAAAGTAACTGCAGAACTCTATTTTGAGCTTCACATGAACACATTTTTAGAGCGAAAGAATATAAGGAATTACCACTTGAGCATGAATAAAATTCTAATTCCATTTAGTAAAATCCTTTCCATTACTTAGAAAAACTACCATCGAGACTATTAGAAAAACTACCATCGCGACTATATTTTCTAGCTGGATGTAGGAAAGTATGATTCAGTTAAAGTAACTTTTCTTTGACCATCAAGGAGCACTGTGATCAAAGCTCAATTAGGCAATGACCAGGACCCTACTCGGCTTCACTTAGTTTCATAACATATGTCATAGAGCCAAGACAGGCTTAGCTCATTGTCTTGAGATGTTGACATCCAGGCAACAACTCAGAAATTTTGGGGAGTACCTGAAGGATATACTCATCTGACTATTAATTAAGTTTTAATGATTAGTTATTAATATTAATGGTAACTTGCACATACAGCATGGTCAATTGGTGGTTGCTTCCTTTGTTAAATGCATAAAACGTGGATAACTACAAATAATGAGAAATATTTATGAGCAGTAAACCATTGAAGAAGAAATGTGACAGTGCAGAGAGAGAGAGAGTTTTTCACAAGAAACAAAGCTCATATAGAGTTTGGTTTTTGAAAAGCATTTGCAGTCCTTTTTATGCTCTTATCTACCATTTTTTTCATTCTTCACTCTGTAATCTACTTTTTTTTTTTTGAATTTCTTTTTTAATATTTGGTATGGCATTTTCTGGAGGATATGTTATTCTCTGATTTGCCTGGCTCTTTTTTTTCCTTACCGATAGTGTTCTTTTCTGTCATAGCAGGAAGTTTAATTTGACCTGTTTAAAATTTGCCTTGCAAGTTTGTTAACCCAAAGTGCTAGACACTGTAAGCTCACAACTATACTATGTCTGAAGATGGAATTTAGGCCTGAAGAAAGATAATACAATTGCTACTACCTGCTAGTGCAAATTCTGTTATCTGCTACAGCTCCTACTTCTAGTAAATTGGATTTATTGTTGGTAGAACCAACGGTTCAAGATAACTTACACTTTCTGAAAATTTTGGGCTGGGAATTCCTGCTGCTAGAGAACTGAAAAGTGGGGTAACTTGGACCGGGGAACTGAGCTCTGCACTTGATGAGGTAGAAGCAACTACAATGTTTGTTTGGTCATCACAAGTAGGGATTATCTCAACTGTTATATCATAAGATATTTCATCAGAAACATCATTGTTTCTTATTTATCCACTTTATAGTCATCAACAAGGTATTCTAGGCCTACCAGATATAGGATTTCATTACCATGATTTGTGTTTGCACTGCAAAGAGCCCTTTTCGCCTCTTCACTCCTGCAATTCTGCTCTCCAATATGACTCGACGGTATATCCTGGTGCAGTGCATCTATCTTAACTTCAGTTTCTTCTCCTTTCTCCCCATCCAGATGATGCATCAGTATTGACCCTGTACTGTATTCAGAACTCGCCGGAGATTCCTCATGCAGATCAGGTTGCCTAGACCATATTAATCATCAGTTAGTTTTAAGTAAGAAAGTAAGAAACCTTACAAAATCTAAATTTAAGTCAACTGATTTTTCTGTTACCTCCAAGATAGTCGACTTCCCTCATTACTACTCCTTAAATCCTCTAACAAGTCCTTGAAATCTTCAAGTTGGAAATCAATATCAGAGATTGTATATCTGAAGATGACATTTTCTTTACTCTGATTCAGAAAATCTTGGAGAACCTGAATATGACATAAGATGAAGATTAGGGACATTCAATGTATAGAATGGACTATTAGCCCCACAATATTTAAGATTTAGAACTTTACCAACTGTGAAGCAACTATGTATGGTATTGGATGTCGATAACACATAAACATATAGAAACTAAAAGTTATTTCTCACCTTCCAAGCATTTTCAAGACTCTGTTCTGTTTTGTCTGTGTTAACTTTCAATGCAAGTGAGCTCAGTAGCTCTGCTTGCTGCATCAAAGCAGTTATCTTTGGATCATCCTTATTGAGAAACGTTCCTTGAGTTCTATTGTTCTGAGCTGCTAATGAATAAAGGAGAAAGAGAATGTAAGTGTTATATTGTGAAGAAGTTTAAAGGAGAATAGAAAATAATAGATAACTGCATGCACAATTTTGGCTAAACTGCAAAGTGATTAGTGATCGTAAAATACTCTCTTCGCAGGTCTGATACTCTATTGTAAAATAAGCAAGAGAAACACAAGTGCCAATGTCAAGAATTTGTTGCTTGAGGTGATTTACCATCATTAAAGACATCCTTAACATTGTTGACTTGAGATTGCACCACCACATTGTCAACATGTTGGAGATTTTGACCCAAAACAGCAAATGGATGTCTTAGCTGCTGATTGATTATTGTTCCAGGTACTATATGTGCTCTATCTCCAAAGTTGCAATTTTCAGAGAGATCAGAGATGTGGGATCTCCTGAATTGGAAAAAGAAAAGACTTTAATTTGTAAAGTAACATAACTCTTGATCATTACTATATATATGCTTTTCTATGCTATGGCACCTCATTCTCTTAACAGGAGCAGTGCATTCAGTTGTTCCATCTGTACTGAACCCATTTTGGAGTAAAATTCTTTTGTTATTTGGGTTTATACATGAAGTAGTGATCTCTTTTGCTAAGGCTTCATACTTGGCTCTCTTCTTGCAGAGTGTAGAGAATCGATTTTTAACAGCATTATCCGTTCTGCATTAATAACATAATCAGTAAAAATTGAAAATCTACAACAGAAAATGAAGAAATGCATGTAGAAAAGAGAACCTTTTCCACAAAGTTTTTTTTTTTTAATATATATATAATATTTACCTGCCTGAAACCACCTTTGCTATTTCTGTCCATCTATTTCCAAATATTTTTTGAGCCTGCAGATCACCTTAAGTCATCAGCTCAGAATTCACATTCAACAATCTAGAATAGCACTTATCCAAACTGAAATTAAGAACTGTTGCTTGCCCCACTTTTGAAAGACAGAAACTGAGTCAATTAGTTTAAGGTCTGGCCTACCTCTAAATTTTCAACACCTGTTGTACCAGTAACATGCAATAGCCTGGTACAACTGATCAATGAAAGTAACATTTCCTCCAAACATATCACCAGAATATATGTTTTTGAAAAATTTTGAAGTTTCTATTGAAAGACAACCTGGCCCTATTTAAATTAAGCGGAAATATAGAATATAATTACCTCACATAAAAGCATATCTTCCTCAGGTGACCATCCTCCCTTCTTGAAATCAGAATTCAAGTAAGTGTACCATCTGTGTTTGTAATGTAACAAAGGCATTAAATTAGATTAGATTAGATTAGATTAAATCAGTAGTAACAAAAAGTCCAAAAAGAATAAATGATCAAATGGATCAAAAATAGAAGATCATCGATAAACTTTTTGAAAGCAATAGCATGATTATGGTTTCACCAACCTTCTTCTGCACTGCCTTGTGGTTTTATCCTTGAATTTAGAGACAATGGTCGCCCAGCTGCTCTCAAAGATTAAAAACACAAACATACCCCTTTCAATTTCATTCATCATTCAAAATAGCAAACACTCGTAATGAAAAGGAAAACAAAAAGAAACACTGAATAACAAAAGGGCTCACTTTTCAGTTCCATGTAAACTGATTTGTTCACGAAGTATATCATCTTCCTGCAACCCTCAGATAAAACAACAATAAGAACCCCAAAATGAAGAATCAATCAATCAATAAATAAATAAATAGAAAGAAGACCTCCTGAGTCCATGTCACTATGTGACGCTCCTTCTTCTTGGAATCTTCATTGCGACCTCCTCCACCATTCTTCTTTGTTTCCTGCATATCTTTTTTCTGCTTCCCTTCTCTCTAATATCTGTCTCTCTCAGTTTCTGGCTTTCCTTGACGCTCCTTCCCTTTTATTAAAACCCAAGTGGCATGCTAAAAAGCCAACCCCTTTTCAACCCTTTATAAAAAAAAAAAATAAATACACAAAAATCCCTGAAAATGGAAACCAACACTTCCACTTCCCTCTCTTTTATCTTTTTTACAACAAAGCTTACTGTTGGGTTCAAACGGAATCCATATTACTCTCAATAACTCTATGCTTTGTCCCTTCTACGCCATTCCTCGGATTCTAACTTTTTCTCTATGTTTGTACTTAGAGAATAGAATCACAAAGTCTCCACCACCACACCATTTAAATGCTACTAAAGCTTGGACTTTCTGATTCAAATTTACATGTATATACGTAGAACCGAAAAGGGTATATCTAAAATGGAAAAAAGATTAAAACTTTTGACGGGAAAAAAAGACAGAAATGAAGGTTTCTCTTTCAAAGAAAGAAACTTTATGAAATTACTTCCTTTGTCTTACAAGGATTTTGGAATTGGGATTTTATAGGATTTCTTTACTAATTTAAAAAAAAATGGAAAATATTGTTAAAATATATTAATTTAAATCAACAGATTCTTGCTTTGGTGCGCGGGTATGAAGGAGAGTTTGAAAATATTAAAAAAGAAAAAAAATAAATCCATAAATAAATAAATAACGCTGAATTTCATGATGTTGTGTTTTTAATGAATGCCTTTGGAGACTAAGCCCACTGTGCTCCAAAAGCAAACCACATATATTTATTTTATTTTATTTTATCATTATTATTTCATTTCCATTTTTTTTTTCTGAATAATGATGATTTTAAAAGGAACGTGACGATCTTCGTGACCTAACGCACTCTTATTCACAGCTCATTTTTTTCCATTTAAATTCCTGTTTTTTTTTTTTATTTTGGAGGGTTAATTTTATTTTTCAAAATTGAAATATTTTTTTGAGTTTTGGATAGATTTGATAAATCATGTATTTATATTTTATAAAATATTAAAATTTAAGTATTTATATTATATTTTATATGAAAATTATATGTTATAATTCGTGTTAATATAAAAACATAAAATATATATTTTTGATTTTATTAAATTCACATATAATTATTGTTAAAATATTAAATCGTGTTATTTTCGTATTTTATTTTTATATTTTATTCATATTATGCTTTTAAATTATTAGATTTAATTTTGGAGAAGGGCATTGATGGCATTTTCTTTGCTTTTTATTTAAATGGGTTAGTTGCTTTCATTCATTTTTGTCATTTCTCTTTTGTTTTGTTTATACATGTGAAGTATATAAATAATTCAGATTTTAGAGGGAAAAATCCAAAATCCAAAATGTAAATCAAAATAGGAAACTTCTATTTTGCTTATTGTCCTGGAACATTTAAAGAAAAACAACACAAAGATCTTTTGTCTTTTCGTGAAGAATTAGAGAATGATAATCTTCCAAATGGAATGTTGTTTTGCATGCATTTACCTTTGTCAATGGTAATATTTTAAATTAATTTAGATAATATTAGATATTGATTTAGCTAATTATTGGAATTGATTTAATCATTATTTATATTTATGGTGCTTTTTATTTTGTAACATTTTACCGTGTATAAATAGGCTTTAAGCCTCATTGTAATACACAAATTATTACAATATAATTTTCATCATTTTTTTCTTTTTCATGGTATTAAAGTGATTTTATGGTTTATTCTGAATGTGAATCACTTTAAAATAACCAATATTTGCTTATTTTCATATTTGGTTTATTCTCATTTCGAACTTTATTTTTGCTTCCACGTTTTTTTTTTTTTTGGTTTCTCTTCTCATCTTCAATATTCATCTTTTATATCAATACTCATAAATTTTCAAATCTCCATTTCATTTTTTTTTTCAAAAGCTTAATAGCAAGTATTCAATGAGAAAATATACAACCAATTTTAATTTTTTTGATGAAAATAACTATAATAGGTAGACTACAGCTATGTATAGTTATTTAAAGGGAATGAAATTATAGCTTGTTATTATTAGAGAACATAAAGCACCAGAAAGTAAAGAAAAAGAATCTGGTGATAAATTTACAGATCGACTAGAGGAATGAGAAAGTAAGAATCATGAAATTTTGACATGGTTCACTAACACCACTGTTTCTTCTATCAATATATATATTAGGTGATTTGAACTTACTAAAGATGCTTGCGATTTTCTTACCACATGGTATAGCTTTACTACCTTTACACATTAATATCATATTTTGATCATTTTATCTCACTTTCGTCAAGAACCAAGTCAATTGATTGATGATTTTCATTCTAAAATGCAACATTTATAGGACATGCTTAAAAATTCTGAGCCAAAATTCAAAGATGAAAGTGATGCTGGTAATTTTATTACTTATCAAAATCAAATTCGTCTTATTCAATTTCTAATGACATTTCAAGATGAATTTAAGAATATTAGGTTTTTACTTTTGCCCCGACATCCCTTACCAATTATGGATAATGCTCTTATAGAATTGATATATGAGAAAATCAGTTGGGAATGAGTCAGACTCATAGTGTTGATATTATTGTTGCTGCTACTCTTCAGAAAAGTACTAGCTCTACTTTTCACAAGTCTTGTTCATGATGTAAGAGGACTAATCATCTTATTCAGAAATGTAGAGTTAAATATCATTATAATGGTAGTCTAATTCATGATCCTTACACTAATAAAATTGCTACGTCAACAACCATTAACCCAAACACTTCTGAGTCTTTTTTTGAAATCATTACAATCTCCACCACTGATCTTCAAACTTTGTTCAACCAAGTATTATCTTGATCTCATATTCCCGTCATGTCTGTTGTCACATCCAGTAATGCTTGCTTATTTGATACTACCTGTAGAAATCATATGACTACTAACATTTTTTTGTTCAAAAGCAAGATACCTATACCTAATAGTCCAATCATTAAAATAGCAAATGGATCTGTCTTGAAAGCTAACCACATTAGTAATATTGAAACCTCAAAACTATATATATTTGATACTTACCTTATTCCTAATCTTGTTTTAAATTTACTTTTTGTTGGCCAACTTTATAACCTTAGTCTTAATTTGTATTTTCATAATGATATGGTCATATTGTGCAGAATCCTCAAATAAGTCAGAAAGTTGGGATAAAGCGTAAGGTTGGAACATTGTTTAAACTTGAAATTTTGAAAAGTCCACAACATTTGCTTATTGATGCTATATCTCAAACAATCAACTCTTTAGTTTCTTTAGATTTATGGCATTCTAGGCTCGAACATGCATTTATTTCTCAAATAAAATCACTTGCTTCCATTAATGTCTTAGTTAATATTTCTCATAATATTTTTTATTGTTTGTCTTGTTAACTTGGAAAGCAAAGTGTTTTACCTTTTAATAAAAGTGATTTTATTTCATCTGCTCATTTTGATTTAGTCTATTTTGATATTTGAGGTCCAGCTCTCACACAAACCTTAGAAGGTTCACGCTTCTTTGTTGTATTTATTGATAATTTCTCTCATTATACTTGGATATATTTATTCAAACAAAAAACTGAACTTTTATCTATTTTTTGTGAATTCAATAACATGATATAAACTCAATTTTCTAAAAAAATAAAAATTTTTAAGTCTGACAATGCTGCTGAATATACATAAATTGAGTTTCATAACTTATTAAAAGATGATGAAATTATTTCTCATAGGTCTTGCCTATATACTTCATAATAAAAGGATCAAGCTGAAAGAAAACATTGTCATATTCTTGACACAGTTCATGCCCTTCTCATTACTTCTTTCTTTTTTAAATATTTTTGGGGTAAAGCTACTCTCACTGTTGTTTATACTATTAATCGTGTTCTCACACTAGTATTAAGCATACAGTGTCTCTGTGAATGTTTATACAATAAGATACATGATTACCATTCTCTCAAAGTTTTTGGATATGCTTGTTTTATTTTACTTTCTACTTATGAAAGGACTAAACTTGAACCTAGAGCTAGATTGTGTTGTTTTTAAGGTTATGGCATAGAATACAAGGGTATAAGTGTTATGATCTAGTGTCTAAATGTCTTCGCATCTCAAGACATATAGTTTTTTTGGAGTATAAAAAGCTCACTAGTGTGTCCTCATTACATTCATTATGTTCTCTCTATGTATTTTTACAAATTCATTTTTTAATTTTTTTTTCAAATAAAGAGACTATTATAAGTACTTCTGACTCAAATAGTGATTCATCTTTTTTCACTCCTACTATGTCTGATCTAATTAAAACTCATATTAATACAATTATCCCTTCATTATTCATACCGCCTCCACTTTATCGCTTCACCCAAGTAAGAGAAACCAACACTCAACTTCATATTTTTCACTATTATTATGCTTTAGTCACATTATATAAACCTCATAACTTTTGTGAAGCTATCTCTAATCCTATATGGTAGCAAGCAATGGCAGATGAGTTTTAGGTTTTTGAGAAAACTCATACTTGAAATATTATTGAATGACATTCTGATAAGTCAGTGATTGATTATAAGTATGTTTACAAGATCAATACTAGATTTGATGGATTAGTGAAATGTTATAAAACTAGTCTTATTGCTTAAGGATTTACATAAGAATATGCCATTGACTATGAAAAAACTTGTTTCAATTGCACATCTTACTTTATTCATTCACTATTAGCTGTTGCTATAGCTAGAAAGTGGTCAACCTTTCAAATGAATGTTAAAAATACCTTATTAAATGATGATTTCACTAAAGAAACTATATGAAGTCACTTTCTGGTTCATCTGTACCTTTCAACATGCTCTACCATCTTTAACATGTTTTATATGGTCTTAAACAAATCCCTAGAGCTTGGTTCTCAAAATTTAGTACCACTATTATACAACTTAATTTTACATGTAGTAATCATGATTCTACCATTTTTATTTGAACCACTGAAAATGGTACTATTTTTCTTTTACTTTATGTGGATGACATGATCATTAGGGTAATGATGCAAATGGTATTTAAAATCTGAAGACTTTTTTTCATTCTAAATTTGAGATGAAAGATCTTGTTCATTTGAATTATTTTTTGGATCTTAAAGTCACTAGTGATTCTACTGGCTTATATTTGTCTCAAACAAAGTATGCTTCTGTTCTTATTGCTAGAACAAGTTTAACTGATATTAAGATTGCATCATTACCACTTGAAAAGAATTTGAAGCTTTCTCCTTCTAATGGTACACCACTTTCAAACTCTTCTTTGTATCGAACTCTAGTAGGTAGTTTCATATACTTGACAATTACTTGTTTGGACATTGCTTATGTTGTTCATCTAGTTGTCAATTTTTATTTGCTCCTCGATCTACTCATTTTTGTTATTGTCATTCAGATCCTATGATATGTCAAGGGTACTATGTTCTATGGTTTGCGTTTTTTTTTTTAGTTTCTCTTTGGACTTGCATTATTATTGTGATGCTGTTTGGGTAGGGGATCCTATTAATCGTCGTTCTACCACCGGCTACTATTTTTTTTTCGATTCTTCTATTAATTTTTTGACGAAGTAAAAATAAACTGTGATGTCCCGTTTTAGTACTGAAGTTGAATATTTAGCTTTTGCAGATGCCACATAAGAACTTT